AACAACAACAACAACAACAACAACAATTATCTTTTTAAAATTATTTTTTTATGAAGAGAAATTTTTTTTCTCTTTTTATTCATTTTAATGAAAATTTAGAGACTTTGGATTTCCATTCATTCATTGTTCCACTTTTCTCCCTGCCTGCCCCCCTTCTCTTTGAAAAGTAAAAAAAAAAGATTCTTTCATTGTTTTACAATCCCTCCCCCCCAGGTCCACTCCACTATGCAGCTTTTGTTCTGGGCTATTGTCATGACAATAATACCTAATCACATATCCCTTTTAAACCATTTTCTCCCTCATCTGTTTCAATGCAGTATACATTATTTATCTCATTCTTCTCAGTCTTCCCCTAACCCCGATGTCAGTCATGTTTTATAACAGTGGCACTATGCAGTATTTGTCCCTTTGTGACTGAGATATTTCACTCAGCATAATGTCCTCCAGGGTCACCCATTTTGAATAATATTTCATAAGTTCCTTGTTTTTCAGTGCAGCATAGTATTCCATTGTGTGAATATACCACAGCTTCTCTATCCATTTGTTTGTTGATGGGCACGTAGGTTGTTTCCAACTCCTTGCTACTGTGAACAAAACCACAATAAACATGGGTGTGCATATATCTGCTTGAGTGACAGCTATGGTCTCTTTGGAGTATATTCCCAGTAGTGGAATTGCTGGATAAAATGGTATTTCTATTTGCAACTTTTTGAGAGAGCACCATACAGCCTTCCATAGTGGTTGCATCATTTTACACTTCTACAAACAGTGAATAAGTTTTTCAGTTTCTCCACAACATCTCCGGCATTTGTTGCTTGCTGTTCTGTTAAATTTTGCTATTCTTACTGGGGTGAGATGATATTTCATAGTTGTTTTGATCTACACTGCTCTTAGAGATAGGTATTTCGAACATTTCTTCACGTGTTCACCATCTGAATGTCTTCTTTGGTGAAGTGTCTGTTCATATTTCATGCCCATTTTTCAATTGATTTATTTACCTTTATCTTGTTGTGGTGACAGTATTTGCTCTTATGGAATTGCGGTAGCTCACTTAGCATAATGCTCTCCAGTCCCTCCCTAATTAGGTAATGATCTACAAAATCATTACTCCTGTGAGCTGGGTAGTAGTCCTTTGTGTGACTATATCATAATTTCTCAATCTATTTAATTGTGGTTAGACATTTGGGCTGTTTCCATTTCTTGCGATGGTGACTAACACTATAAACATTGGTGTACAAGTGTCTATTTGTGCCTCAGTTCTCATTTTCTTGAGGTATATTCCAAGTAATGAAATATCTGGGTCATACGGAATTTCTATGTTCAGTTTTTTAAGAAAGCAACAAACTGCCTTCCAGAGTGGTTGTACCATTTTACAGTCACACCAACAGTGTGCAAGAGTTCTTATCTCACTGTATCCTCAACATTTATTACTTCTTGTCCTGTTAAACTTTGTCTCTGTTACTGGAGATGGTATCTCATTGTGGTTTGCATCTCTTATTGCCAGTGATTTTGAGCATTTCTTCATGTCTGTTGGCCATCAGAATATCTTCCTGTGAACATCCTTTCCATGTCTTTTGCCCATTTTGTAATTGTGTGATCAGTGTTTTACTTGTGGAGGCCCTATTGGGTTCTGTAAACTTTTGCCATGAGACCCTTGCCTGAGAAGGTATTGGCAAACTTTTTCCCCAGTCAGTAGGTTTTCTTTTCACTCTGTTAGAAAATGTTTTTGATGTGCACAGGAATTTAATCTTTAGAAGGTCCCATTCATCAGGGCTATCCTCTCCTGGCTGTGTAGAGCTCACCTCTTTAGTAATACTTTTACTCTTTGTGAGATTTTCTCTGGTGTCCCTTAGTTTATAATAGTTCAAAGCCTTGGGGTGTGACCTGATATCCTGGCTGGTCATAGGCAATTGGAGCAAGAAGCCCCATCCCTTAAAGGATAATAGGCAGAGGAAGAATCTAAGGATCAAAGGAAAGAAAGGGATAGAACTGTGGTACTAACGTATCCTTTACCTTGTTCGGCCGTAGGAACTTGCCCCTCTCCATTGGCATTTCCATGCCCATTGTCACCATTATCTACATCCTGACCAACGTGGCCTACTATACGGTGCTGGACAAGAGAGAAATCCTGGCTAGTGATGCTGTTGCAGTGGTAAAGAATTCTGACTAGCAAAGGATGGAGGGTGTGCTTATGGGCTTTGGGGGGTATACCAGCTCTTGAAAACTTTGGGAAGTATATTCATAGTCTTGAAGGAGTATGCTCTTACCCACTGTGGAAAAAGGGTTGGATTCCAATCAAAGGAATCTGAGGCACCTATCTCCATGCTTTTCATCTCTCTTGGGCTGATGCTGACTCTTCCATTCCTTTTTTTTTTTTTAAAGACATTTGCAGACCAGATTTTTGGAGTATTCAACTGGGCAATCCCATTGGCAGTTGCATTATCCTGCTTTGGCGGTCTCAATGCCTCCATTGTGGCTGCATCTCGGTAAGAGTGGTGCTTTTTCAGTGGAGTGTTATGAGGAATGGCAGGGGACGGTTAGGACTTCTAGGACCCAGATTACTCTGTGTTCCCAAATGATACCTACAGCCTTTTCTGGTTCTCCTGGGCAGTCTCCAATTGTCACTAATCTCAAAGTTGAATTTACCTCTTTACTAGAATTCTCTTCAAGGGATGGAGGCAGAAGACTTGTGTGGCACGTAACTAGGCTGCACATCAACTCATATTTGTGTCTACTTATTTAAAATAGGCTTTTCTTTGTGGGGTCAAGAGAAGGTCACCTCCCTGATGCCATCTGCATGATTCATGTTGAGAGGTTCACGCCAGTGCCATCTCTGCTCTTCAATGTAAGTAATCTCAAATATGAACTGAAAGAAAGATAGAACTTGCATGTGTGGGAACTCCAGTACAGTGGGTATGACTTCCTAGCTTCCTGAAAACTCTAAAGGTTTTTGATCCTTCAAGTTAACTTCCAGTCTAAGATAAGGCACAAAGTAATTCATGGAATAGACCACACTAAAATGAAGGAGGTCGGGTGGTCTGACTTAGTTGGGAGTTGCAATGCCAACTAAAGGTGGTTTGAATTCGCTAACTACTCTGAGGGAGAAAGATGGGCCGTTTCCTCCTGTGTGATTTACAGGCTCTGAAAACTCACTGGAGGGTCAGCTTGAGTCTGTTCCAACTTGATGGCACCTGGCAACCACAGAATGAGTACCACTGAAGTTAGTAAGGGGTATTTAAAGGAAAGTGATCACTTCTGGAAGGGTAGAGGGTAAATGAAGAAACACTTCTTGGAGGAGTGCATTTGAATTTTGAAGCTCACAGTTTCAAATAGAGACAAACAGGTGGATTAAGAAACAGCACCTGAAAATGTCTGAAGAGGGTAAAGCAGTGTGTTGAGTAGTGGGAAACAGAATGTAGGTTGAAGCCATAGACAAAAGCCCCGTTTTGAAGGCTTATGTTTTGAGCTGTGCTTTATAGGTTAACTGGGCACAGGTTTGAAGGCCCTGAGGAATGTCAACTAGGATGGGAAAGAAACAGACGATGGAGACTCGAAACACTTCGCAGGGGTAAACTGGAATGAAATGTATCCAAGGTCTCTGAGAGGTGGCTTGTGTTTGTGCCTACAGGGCATCATGGCACTCATCTACTTGTGTGTGGAAGACATCTTCCAGCTCATTAACTACTACAGTTTCAGCTACTGGTTCTTCGTGGGGCTATCTATTGTGGGCCAACTCTATCTGCGCTGGAAAGAGCCTGATCGGCTGCGTCCTCTCAAGGTAACCTCTCATAACCTCAGTTCTATTTGAAACTCCTAGAGTTGCTATTACAAGAGACTTTTTTAAAGACAGTTTATTGAGAAAACGTTTGCTTAGGACTTTGTGGTGGTGGAGAAAGCATGGAAAGTTAGGGTTCAGTGCTTTGATCTTTGTGGGAGGTGGGGTTATTTTGATAAGAAAACCCCACACTATCTCATTGTTTCTTCTATGCCTTCAGCTCAGCCTGTTCTTCCCCATCATCTTCTGCCTCTGCACTGTCTTCCTGGTGGCTGTTCCACTTTACAGTGATACAATCAACTCCCTCATTGGCATCGGCATTGCCCTCTCAGGCTTGCCTTTTTACTTCTTCATTGTCAGAGTGCCAGAACTAAAACGACCTCTTTGCCTCCGAAAGATTGTGGGTAAGTCTAGGATCCTCAAGTGAGTCCAACAATTTTAGAATTTGGTTTGCCTTATCTGCAAACCTAGGTTCCCAAATCACATCTGCCATAGTCCCTTCCTGTTATCAACCTTGTGGTAAAAAAGAATTATTATCCCCAGGTGTAATCCCATTTAGGGCCACTTGAGCTCAGCCCACTTTCCAATTCTGACACACACTTCCTTTTTTTAGCAACCACCACAAAGTACCTTCAGATCATATGTATGTCAGTGGCTGCAGAGATGGATTTGGAAGATGAGGAAGAAATGTCCAAGCAACAAGACCCGAAGTCTAACTAAATACCACTGTGAATCCTGAGATATGCAATCAGAGATCGTTTGTCTTCTACTGGCTGCAGTCAAGCTGAAAAAAAAAAACCCCAAAAACAAAAAACCTCTTTGGAGGCACTGATCCAGATAGCCTTTTGAGCTTGTGTTTTGAGACAGAAAATAATTTATTTGTTTTGCTACATAGTGTTCCAGACTTTTTTTTTTTTAAGGGAATGGTAAAGGAGATGATGACACTTTGAGCAACTCCAGTGTGGGTTTGGTTGGTTTGGTAGCACATTTCCAGATATTCACTCACCTCAGGCTTGTGCCTGCCAATTCCTACTTTCCTTTAAAAGGGCTGAAGATGTTCTAAGCTTCCTGTCTCATTAAGAGACATGAAACTGTCACAGGTGCTGGACAATAAAAGGGATATCTTCCCAAGATTTCATTGGCTTCACTTCCTACACCATTTGTGGAACAGCTTCTACTGAACTGCAGAAACACAAAATGATCTAATCATCAAAACATGCTCTTTCCTCCCTTCTAAGCTAGCTGCTGATGCAACTAATCTCTACACATACAAGGTAGCAGAGAACAGAAAAAATTGTCACAGTAAAAGGATAGGTTAATAAAAAATGATATCCACTTTCCTAATTACCACTAAGAATTTGAGATCATCCACGTAGAAAAAATTTCGACAACACTGGTCTAGGTGGTCGTAAAAGGAGGGAAAGTAATTGAAACTGACTCCTGTGCTGCTTATAGCATGAGAGTTAGTATCAGACAATAATATTGTCATTCACAAAATTGTTTCTGCTATATTCCTGGTGCTGAAAGGATGTGGAAATGAGTAAAGCTCTCAGTATTTGGGGCAGGAAATGCATTTTTTATATCCTTGTCACTTTTTTTTTTTAGATACTTTTAGCAGTAGAGCACATTCTTTATTAAAGGATTATGATTTAGGATTGAATCCCTGGGAAGAAACCCAATGAAGTAGGTGACAGCAGTTTTGCCACAAAACTTTTCACGTGACAACAGTTCTGCTACAAACCAATCAATGCCTTGTTTGGTATCCCTGAAATCTGCCATATGTGATAAATAAAGACAGTGGAAATAAAAAAAAAAATTTCGAAAAAAACTGGAAATAGGGAGCTCTGATGGCATAATGGTAAGGAGCTGGCTAGCAACCCAAAGATAAGTGGTTTGAATCCATGAGCTGCTCTGTGGGGAAAAGATAGGCAACCTCTTTCCGTGCAGTTAACTGCCTCTAAAAACCATCTTAAGGGTCAGCTATGGGTGGGTTTTGACTTGAAGGTACCCAACATCATCATATTGAGATAGGAAGTTTGATGGCCTTGAGTGGGTAGAGTTGTGCAGCTAGACCAAAGGCAAGGAGTTTGAATCCACATGGGCCATGGGAGAAAGTTGGACAATCCCCATCAGTGTGATTTACAGTCTCTGAAAACCCACTGGGGGGTGGGATGTCAGCATTGAGTTGGTTTCAACTCCGTGACACCTAACAACATATTAGGATAAAAATGCAATTCATCAGGCCCGTCTGAAACAACACTCCTCAGGCCCGTCTGAAACAACACTCCTCAGCCCCTTTCCCTGTTTAGTAAGTATCAAGAAGCAGCAGGTAGTGTAGAAATTTACTATTCTGCAGATGCGAAGATCACCCAGGTTTCCAATGCTCTCTTCCACACACAGGTTTGAGAGTCTGTAGTGGAGTCCATTTTTAAAAATGAACACTGTCATGCCCCACAGTTCCAAGGACCAGGGCAAGGGGGCAAGGGCATAGTATCAAGCCTTGTTTTTGAGGATAGTCTTTGAAGAGACGGAGTTCATGCCATAAATCAGCCAAGCGTGTCCTGCCAGGGCTTCTTTGACTTTGGTTTGCTGCTTCTGCTGTCAGGGGTGGTGGGAGGGCTACTCTTTCCATGTTGTAGCAGAGGATTGTGGGCAAAGGTCTGTCGTAAGGGACCTGGGAAAGAAAACAAAACTCACTGAAGAAAAGAGGGGAAGAATCAAAGAAAAGAGTGCAGCTGAAAATATGATTTACCCTTGGCAGCTAGGTCCAAGTGACTCTGCATGCGTCGCTCACGCTCTCGCATTTGATGTGCTAGTTCGGCATTCTTCCAACCTGCATAAAGAGGAGTCAGTCAGTCCTGCTGACTGTTTTTAGACCACTTCCACCTATCCTGTTTCACAGAGGACTGGTCCTTACCTTGCTTGAAGCTCTTTATAAAGCCTTCTCGTGGTGCCAATTTGGCAGGGTCATGCACCACGCGCTGGGGGATTTTAAGTACAGTGCGTACAGCGGGGATCCGGAGACAGGCCATCTGGCCCAGGGAAAACAGGTTGGAGGAGAGCCAATACACGAACACTGCCTGGGTGGGAACAAAGAGAGTACTCAGAAGTTGCATGTTTGTTTAGCTAGCTAGAAGTGGCAAAGGTAGAAGGACTTGGGAGTCAGCTCCTACCATTACCTACCGTGGGGAAATGGATGGTTATGGGCAGGACTGCAAAAGGCATCACCCTAATAATATTTCTCATCCACTGAAGGTCAGAACTTTGCATACCTGTTTCAGCACCAAGCTGCCAAAATAAAAACAAACAAAAAAAGGAGGAGTGAGGAAGTGGACAGAATAGTAAATACATGTCAATTTTGGTTAATCTGGCTTTAATTTCTTCCTCATCAATTGCATTCTCTAGGGAATGACAAATGAGCATTCTGCATAACCACTTTATCCCCATTCCTAGTTTGCTACAGCCATCAGCTTGCAGGTCTTTCACTTGGCCAGCTGGGGCTTACCTCAAGAACCCCCCACATTGTGGCAGTGACCACCAGAGGTAATACATAGGTGGGGTCAAATACTGTGAGATCCTGGAACCACAAAAGGCCACCTGTCTGCAGGCTGGGTACTGGAAGGTTGGCCATTTCTCTCAAGGCAATGAAGAAGGAAATGAAGATCGGTGCCTATTACACAGGATAAACAATGTCAGGATTCATTAGCAGAGGAGAAAGATTTCAAGATTTTAATCTTAATCTTGAAAGCCATGAATAATACCAATACCCACTTTTTAGGGAGCAGGGGCATAGGAAACACAGAAGCAGCAAACTCTTCCTGTTTGATGTGATTCAGGATGAAATAAGAGGGAAATGTTTTTGCTCACCTGAGTTAGAGGTAGAATGAGAGGTCTGAAGAGACTCACATCATGCTTTTTCTGGTAAAGGTTCATCTCTGTGGAGGCCCTGTAAACTACAAAGTGAGGGCAAGTTGTAATTTGGTCTAACAGATAGCGGAGGTGAATAGCCTCCTTATCTGGCCTGTGAAATTTCAACTTGACCCTGGCTAGTGAGTCACTGGAAACATTAGCAAGTAGCTAAGTCTTTAGAACATGCTCAACCATAGCAAGTTCTATTGTAGGATGTTGCTTTCTTCTAGCAGAATGTCAGGGAAAGTCTAAGTGTGGTCCTCTCCCACGCTCATCCTTCAATTGACTCACACTCAGCATGGTCTCCTGCCAATTTAGCTTCTCTAATTCGAGTGGAAAACTTCTGGATTTCTGGCAAGTGGTTGTGGATCTTGGCTGCTTCTCGCTGGCCCTTCACGATGAGAGGAAAAATCAGGCAGCGGGCAACAACTGTGCCTGGAAAACACAAATCAGAATTGGAGTAAAAGGAAAAGTTTTGCAGTTGGAAGATGTGACAGTTTTTTAGCTTTTCACTGAATAAGTCTTTTTCATTCTGGCCTTCACCATGCTATGACTCATGCCCGGAGGGCCCAGAACTTAAGGGATAAAACTTAATTCCTTCAAGATTTGGTTCTCTGAATAGAACAAAAGACCAGTGTTAATTTCTTTAAGCAGGTAACCAAGGATCCTGCTCACTTCCTATAGAATGGTCTGTTTTCTTAGATCAATGATTTTCAAACTCTCCTGTATCAATGGAACCTTTTGTTCAACAGTTAAGTATAGCTTCAATATACAAAATCAGTAATATGAGGCTGCTCTGGATGAAGATAGCCTGAACTGTGTTTTCTCTGGCCTTCAACTTGCTCAGATAAACTTTTATAGAACTCTAGGGCTCCCAGGAAATCCCTGAAATAGGAGGCAATCTAGTTCCTACTGCTGTAGTTAAATTTTCGTTTCTTATACTTTGTACTTCCTAATAAATCGAAAATTAATTTGTAGTATCTGTAGGACATGAAAATAGCTCTGGTCATATAACGTATTAAGATGATGCTAACTGAAGCGAGCTCTGGTGGCCTAGTGGCAAGAAGCTGCACTGTAATCCCAGAGGTGTGCGGTTCAAATCCACCAGATGCTTTGCTGGAGAAGGAGGAACCATTTCCTGTACCAATCAAATCTGATGTGACGGTGCGCGCGCGCACACACACACACATAATAAAAATAAAACAAATAAATAAATTTAAAAAAAAAAAAGAAAGATGCTAACTGAAAGGCCAGTGATTGAATCCACCAGTTGCTCCAGGGGTAAAAACAGGTCTCTTTCTAAAATAGCTTACAACAGAGGATTGCAGTGAGGTGAATTGGTTTTGGCTTGGGAGGACATACAAGTGGCATAGACTGGGGCTGAGAAGAGATTAGGGAGATACATGTTTAGGCTTTATTAACATGATGGATGAAATGGAGTAGAAAGAGAGGCGTGCTAAGGACAGAAGCCAGGGTATTGGAAGGGAATGGTGTAGCTAGGAAGACAGAAGAAAACCTAGAAAAGTGATCATAAAGGCAAGGGGTAGATTTCAAGGTCTGAAATGTGTAATGCAGAAAAGTTAGGTATGGAAGAAAAGTAGGTTTACCAATTATGTCATTGGCAGTTTGAATGAAATAGTATTTATAAAATGCAAGTTGGTGAGGGTCAAGGAGTGAACAGGAAGAAGTTGGGCCATGGGGTATAAATTACTTTTAAAAATAAAGCTTTGAAGGGAGCTCTGATGGCCTAGTGGCAAGAAGCTGCACTCCAATCCCAGAGGTGCACAGTTCAAATCCACCAGATGCTCCTGCTGGAGAAGGAGGGACAATCTCTTCTAGTACCAGTCAGATCCGATTTGATGGTACACACACAAATAATAATAAAATGAACAAACAAACAAACAAAAAAAAACAACCCACACAAAACAAACCAAAATAAGCTTTGATAAAAAGTTATGCAAGGAAGGAATGACAATGAAGTTGTAAAAGCAGAGAACGAAGCAGTTTCTCCTGAAGAAATACACTGTTTATATGCACGAGCACATTTACCCATGTTCAGGGTAGGCTGCAAGGAGGGACAATCTGGAGACATGAGAGACAGAATAGTTGATGAAGCAACAGGTACCGAGAAAGAAGTAAACAGAATTTTAAGTATAGTTTTCTCTCCTTTTACAAAAGGAGCAATGTAATGGCTTAACTTTGGGGTATAAATCCTAATCTGACCTTCTCCTAATCAGGGCAGTTTCATTATTGTTAACAGAGTCTCTTCACTCTATTTTATTAACATTCAAAGATCAGTACATCTTAAATCTCATTAACTTAATGAACCTATTGGAAATACAAGGAGGCATTTAAGTATTCTGAACCTGTCATTTGAATGATGTATTTTTCTGATCCTTAAACATCTGCAACTATTGCCCTGATCCACTACCAGGCTGCCATCTGGAAGGTTCAATCAGTAATTTTTCAACTCTGATAACCTTAAAGGGAGCTCTGGGGGCCGAATGGGCAGGCAGTTGCATTGCCAATCCAAAGGCAGTTCAAATACATCAGCTGCTCTGCTGGAGAAAGATGGGTAATCTCCTCACTTACAGTCAGCTGTGAGTCAGTTCTGACTTGACAGCAATGTGAGAGAGAGATTATACCCTTAAACTGCTGCCCCTGAGTTACTACAACTCAGTGACGCTTTAGGGCAAAGCAAAACTGCCTCATAGGAGTTCCTTATGGAAGATTTTTCTTTATGGAAGCAGATTTCCATGTTTCTTTATCAGAGTGACTGGTGAGTTTGAACTGATGATAGCTCAGTTAGCAGCTACCTGAGCTCCTCCCCTCCATCTTTGCCAGAATATATTCTTACATGTTGCAATGGCTCCCCACCATGGTAGGCCCAAGTCAACATGCATAAATTCCAGGAAGTTCTGGATCAGTCCCACTGGGGTGTATGACCCAAGCCCCAGTTCAGCGAAGCTCTGTTCTGCAGCAGCTTGGACAATATCTGCAGTCTCTCCAGGTAGCACTTCAGTCACTGCTGTAGGTGAGGAAGTTACAGGAACAACTGGAGGAGAAGCTTGCCCCTGTAAGAAAGAAAGTAATTTAGTAATGTCGACAAATAAGTGCTCAGTGTTAACAAGATGGATTGACATGGTGACTGCAGCAATGGACTCAAGTGTGTCAGAGATGATGAGGATGGTACACAATAGGCTCACAGGATCACTATGAGTTGCACTCAATGGCCCCTAACAACAAACCTTTTTTAAAAATGTCCATTTTATTTGAGTCAAAGTTTATAAATCACACTGGTTTTTCCAATAATTCAAAGATTAATTACTACTGATTGATGCAATTAGCTTATTACAATGAACACCGCTCACTACATATTGCTATTCCCTTCACACACATTCTGTTTATTACTTTTTTTCTTCCCCTCTCCAACCCCATTTAATTTGTAGTGTGTGTTCTGTACATAGTATCTGATTATGTTATTTATTTTAAACTAATCTTCCCTTCATCTATTCCAATGCTGGAATTATTTATCCATTCTTTTTCTGCTTGCCCCCCCTGCCCCTCTTCCTCACACCAACCTATTTTTATAATAGTGGTCTTATACAGTATTTGTTTCCTTGTGACTGAGTTATTTTACTCAGCATAATGTCCTCTAGACTCATCCATGTTGTGGACTGAACCTAAACCTTTAAAAGCTTAAGTTTTCTTTAAGAGCCTCCCCGACTTCAGACAATTGAGTACCACTTTCGATTTTTGCTGTATGCTGAAGCTATTTTACTTACAATTTTTCCTTACAACACTCACTTTTCTTTTAAAGCCAGAATACCCAATGGTCTCATCCTGGTAAATAATTTCCATGAAATCATGCATTTGATATTCAAGTTAATTTTTTCTAATATACACCCACCACCACCCAGAATACCAAGTCACAAAAAACCACCTGTGGTTTTGTTTCCCACGTTAACTGAATTGAAAATGCCACCTCAAGCAGAGGTATCATTATTTTTGGAAGATGTAGGGAAGTATGGATAAGAACTATACACCAGTCTCGCCCCCACCAAAACCACACATCAAGTAGCCAAGTATCCCTCCTAACGCTGCGGGAATGAAAAGCTCCTTACCTGGGCTTCTGCAAAAGAGATGACAGATGTACTAAGGCAGCGAGGGCTGGGGACTGCAAGGAGGACGCAGCGCGGGCGCCCGCAGCGCTGGCCGGCTGGGAACAGGAGTCTTGTGTTCAGCGGTTTGCGGGGCCAGCGTGATGGCACCGTGATGCTGTGGAACTGAGCGAGTAAACGGGCGAAGAAGGCCCTTTATCGATGGCAGAAGTTCCAGCGTGGGTTACAGACATTCACTGCTCACTTTCAGTGAGGCGAGCTGACATGCTACTACAATCAAAGACTTAGCATGCAATGAGGGAGGGAAGAAGATGGAACCTGCGCCTCCTGGGTTTCCTTTACCCTAGACACATTCTGGGGTCCAAAGAGTGAGTCAGATGTGCCAAACCCGTTCCCAGGGACAGACGATGCCCAGTATCCGAGCCCGCGGAGCCCAAGAAAAACCCTCCTGTGGTTCCATGCGACCTGAGGTCATGAGACAGAGGTCGCGGTGAGCAGTTTTGTGTCTGCTTAAGATAAAAGTTGTCCCTGGGATGGAAATCACGGGAACAAGAATGACTTCCAACGCTCTGCCCAGAGATGACATCCTTACCTGACGCTTAGCCCGTAATAGGAACAGAAGCCCAGGCCGCCGGCACATCAGCCCCATCGCCATTTTTGCCCGGAAGAAGATCTGTGCATGCGCGTTCACGCACGCAATCCCGCGGGAAGCCGCCCTTTTGAAAATGGGCGTGAAGCCGGAGCTATCCTACCAACCGAATGGCACAGGTGACTAGAGTTTGTCGGCCATATTTGAAGTGGGTAAGAAGACGGAAAGGATTATGTTAGGACCTTTACAAGTGTTTTCCTGGTGATTGAAATGAAAGGTCACCTTATCAGTTATATGTCGTGGTTAACCCAAACCAATTGTGTTGACTATCCAATTGATTACAATTCATAGCGAGAGCAGACCTGCCCCATAGGTGTCTGAGGCTACCAGTTTTTACAGAAGTAGGCTGCCTCATAGCGGTTCCCCTTGAAGCGGCTGGTGGATTAGAACCACTGACTTTTTAAACTTGTATCCCAGAGCTTAATCCGTGTACCTCCTGGGCGTTTTCTGCCTTGGTTAATGACGAAGTAAACCCATATTATCCTTGTTCCCCCAGTCCTCTCTTCCACTTTCAATAGTTTTGGCTTTTTTTTTTTTCTCTTACAAAATGTTGGATTGTGGCCCCCCCTTACACAATGATGGATTCTTACTGTTAGATAATCTCAGGCTCAATGACATTTTAAAATCTTAGGTGCTAACTGAAAAGTTAAAACTTCAAAATCTATTCAGAGGCTGCTTGGAACAAAGATTTGGTCGTCTTTATCTGAAAGATCAGCCCTTGAAAACACAGAGCCCAGTTCTACTCTTCCCACCATGCAGCAGAATGAGCTGAAGGTTTGATCAGTGGGCAATCTCCTCTCAGGCAATTGACAGCCTCAACATGCTGGAGGGTCAGCTAGGACTGGTGACTACACAATTGAGTTTGAGTTTTTTGAGGAAAACTAGGTGTGATCATCAGAAGAACCAAGGCTGGTGTCAGGCAGGTTTGATTAAAATCTCAATACCACTAGCTCTTCCATTTAGGACAAATTTTGTGTTTGCCTGGAGTTATTGTGAATATATTGTTAGGTACTGTCAAATGCAGTTCATAGCGACTCTATAAACAACAGATCTGAGCACTTCCCTCTTCTGTGCTATCTTCATTATTTCTGATACACTCGCACCCATTGCAGCAGTTACTTGTGAAGATTCGGTTATGTTATATATGTGCATGATGGAACTGTGTATAGTTACAGTTCAGTAATTGTTACCCATAAATGTTGAACATTTTAGTTTCTTGGTAAGAAAGGTAGAAAATTTAGAGCTGCCCTCTAAACACACTACTGTTGTCTGTTGTTAAGTGCTGTCAAGCTGTAGATGACTCATATCGACCCTATGAATGAAAGACCTGAACACTTGTATAACTTTCATCATATCTCCAAGTCCTTAGGATTTCCGGAGGCAAGGTATTTCGGAAGTGGATGCCAGTCCTGCTTCCAAGCTTGTTTAATTGGAGAGATCCACCAAACACTGTCCACCATAGGTAACCATTGTCACATTTGACATTAGTGTCACAGTGTTCAACATCACAGCAACCACGAGTTACCTCTGTACAGCAAGTGGACAGACCAGTGCTATGCCACTTAGAAGAATATTTGACCAAAAACAATTAAAACCAAGCCCGAGGGCCCAATTTAAGAAAAGATAACAGAATGAAAATGCCTAGAATGTAAAGGTTTAATATTTCCTTCATCTATGAAAGAATTAAGTGGTCTGTAACCTATTTTAATGTTTCACAAACTTTTGAAAAGGAAAAAAAAGTGAATGCTGTGACTCGACGGCACATAACAACAACAACAACAACAACAACAACAACAACAAGAAGCTGTGATCCTCTTAATAGAAAACATAAATGTCCCCCATGAAATTTTGCAAATAATTTGAGATATTTCAAAGATGCTTTAAAACTCATTCTTCTTAATTAGATTGAAAACTTCCAACCTGAATCAGTCTTTTCTTGCCACAATTAAGTCAAGATCTAATCTTAGGTAGTTTCTGTTAGATAGAAAAAAAGAGTTGAAAAGAAGAAGTTGGTCCCAAGTAGTGAACAGGTCTTTATTAGTAGACCCAGGAGGGACACCAGGTGACTGCAAGCAGAGAGCAGAGAAGGTCAAAATGGCATCAAGCATGCAGACAAAGACAGTTTCTTTTTATAGGGGCTTTTAGGGAGGTTAATGGAAGATGGTAATTTGCTCAGAATTTGTAGCCAGGGTCCTGTAAGTGAACTTGGGAGTGTGCACTTGTGATCAGGCCCAGAGCCTTATCAGGAGGTATACATTATCAGGTTTCTTCAAGGAGTGATCAGGTCTGGGGGCAACTGTGACATTCTTCTTCCAGTTTCTGATAATCCTTGTCATGTAGTGATTGAAATAAATTGGCTGGTGACCAGAAGGCAGGTAGTTCAAACTCATCAGTCACTCTGTGGGAAAAGGGTGTGACAATCAACTTCTGTAGAGATTTACGCCTTGGAAATCCTATTGGGCACTTTTACTGTCATTTGGGGTCACTATCAGCCCAAAAGCAACCCACTTTTCCTCATCTTTTCATCTCAGGCTTAGTAGATTTTATGATCATCTAATTCAAAATGTCCCATGCCAAGCCATCACTTCCCATCACTTTGTCAATACCTACTATGTCAATATTTATGTGTTCCATTTCTCTCTTAACAAGTACAATTTCCTACAATTATGCCTCTCAAATTCCATGTTACAATCACTAGTGTCTGCTTACAGCTATTCCTCCTGCTTTGTGGTTTCATATTTGAAGTCTCAGTCTCAGTTTCCATGTTTGCTAGTCTAAGTGTGCTCTGTTGTATGGAGGGTTTTTAAAGGCCTGTTATTTCGGAAGTGGATGACCAATTCTTCTTCCTAGTCTGTCTTAATTTGAGTGCTCAGATTTAGAGTAGTATCTGGCAGACAAACATTTTACAGAAAGGAGCAGATGAAAGACATTTACCCTATTATACAAGTGACTAATAGATTCAGTGTTGCTACTTACCCTTGGTGTGTGTCGTGCCAAGAAATCTGGAGGACAACCACCAGGCCAACTGACTGGAAGAGCTTTTAATTTGTTTTCGTTCCACGGAATGGTGACCCAACAGAGGGCGAAATTACTGAACAATATCATTAATATCACGTGCAACCAAAGATTCTGCTGAAAAAGATCCAAAAATGACTGGGACAACACATCAACAGAGAACTGCCAGATGTGCAGGCTGGGTTTAGAAGAGGCCATGGTCCTAGGGATATTATAGCTGATTTTAGATGGATCTTGGCAGGAAGCAGAGAGTACCAGAAGAATGTCTTATTTGTGTTTCATTGACTATACAAAGGCATTTGACTGTATTGGATCACAACACAGTGTTGCTAACTCTGAGAGTAATGGGGATCCCAGAACATTTGATTGTGCTTATATGAAGCCTATATTTGAACCAGGAGGCAGTCATCAGAACAGAGCAAGGGGACACTGTTGTTGTTGTTGTTGTTATGTGCCGTCGAGTCGCCTGCGACTCATAGCGACCCTATGTACAACAGCCCTAAACTCCGCTCTGTCCT